CCACAAATACAAATGAAGAACGGCAAGACTATGTTCAGGAAAACAGATGAATCAGTAAGAATAGTTCGGTACCAGGAAAAGACAAACCCAATTCAGAACTCTCAAGTTTACGAGCCAGCAACATCATAACCAATGGGTATAAAGAGTAATGCCACTGAAGACTTCCAATTAAGACTGTACAAAGTTTCTCAGACACTGAAGCCTGAAGATACTACACATAACAGAGATGAGGCTTCAAGAAGGCTTTATTCTATACTGCCCCTCTCTCACTTTCAGAATTATCAAATCACTGGGGTAGCAAATTAGAGGCCAGTGGAGATAAAGTTAATTCAGTAACTTATTAAAGAGAAAAGGGCTGGAGAGGTACTGCAGAGATTAAGAGCACTGGTGGTTCTGCAGGACTCAGGTTCAATTGACAGCACCCACATGGTGGCTCACAACAGTCTGTAACTCCAGTTTCAGGGGATCAAAGCACTCTTCTGGGAACCAAGGGCACTTGGGACTTGGTGCACAATACACACGCAGGCAAACACTCATGCATATAAAATAATAATAATAAAATATAAATTTGGAAGCCAGTTCAGAATTCAAGTACCTTCATAATAGGGCAAAATAAACACAGAAGTCTTTATCACAAGAAAACAAAAACTCAAGAGTTTAAGCAAACTCATGGGTCATGCTATCACTGCTCAATGGAAGCAGAGTAAAATGGGTCCATTCCTGTAAGGATGACATCACAGGAGGCAGAACTAACAAAATTCCTGGAGAGCAATGTCTAAGTTAGACATATGCAGACAAGGAGGAAACCCCAAGACATTCGCTGTCAGCTTTCTGATGGGGCTAAACTAAAGCAACACTATTAAAAACCACTGAGGTAGTTGTGATGGCACATCTCTGCAATCCCAGCACTCAGGAGACAAAGGCAGAACAAAGCCAGAGGCCAGGTTGGGTGGGGATCTAAAAAAGCAGTAGAACACTTCCCTCCCAAATGTGAGGCCCTGGTAAAGCTTGGTCCACAGCATCAGCACATGCCAGACCACCATCAAGAAAAACACACAGCTTCTGTTTTCAGAAAGACCATCTGATAAGCTTTAAATCTCTCTATTTTATATCCACTGCCCCAATTAACTACTGAACAGAAACTGACCCACCAGAAGAATGCGGGCAAACTAATCTAACATGGTCATAACATTTATTCCTTGTTGTTTTTTTGACACAGGGTTTCTCTGTGTAGCTTTAGAGCCTGTCCTTGAACTCTCTTTGTAGACCTGCCTCTGCCTCCCAAGTGCAGGGAATAAAGGCATGCACCACCACTGCCCAGCTTCCTAACAGAATGTTTAACTGTAATTCCTCAAAAGAAAATTAAAATAAAGTTGCCAGTTTGTAGGATCTTAGTTTCTCTTTATTCCTTCTATTAAAAGGCACACCAAGAGGCTTTTAGTCCTATAAAACTTAGTATACTATCTATGACATTAGGCTTAACTACTTTAAATTTTTCAGAATAAAAGGCATCCCAACTATACCTCAGACACAGCTTATTTGATAAAAAGCAAAAAAAAAAAAATTATTGGCATGAAAAGCTATGTATCTATATACTTCTAAACCAGTGGTTCTCAACCTTCTTAATGCTGCAACCTAATCTAGCTCCTAATGTTATGGTAACCATAGCATTATTCCATTGCTACTTCATAACTGTAATTTTGCTTCTGTTATGAATCATAATAGGGGGTCACAACCCACAGGTTGAGAACCAATGTTCTAAACCAATGTTCGCTGTACATTCAAAGTGTAAATTTCAATCTTTTGGTAAATGTACATTTCCCTTCTGTTAATTAGCCCCACCAGTATCTACATCGAATACAGTATGAAAAACACACCGAGAAGGTCTGGAGAGATGCTAATGATTACGAGGAGCACTGGCTGCTCTGCAGAGAACACAGGTTCAATTCCCAGCATCCACATGGTGACTCATAACCATCTGTCACTCCAGTTCCAGGGGATCCAACGCCCTCTTCCTGGCTTCTTTGGACACCAGACACAAATGTGGTACAGACATACACGCAGGCAAAACATTCGTATACATTCAGTATTTTTTAAGTACAAGTTAAATGTGGTGATGCACATCTTTAATCCAGCATTCAGATCTCTTCGAGTTCCAGGCCAGCCAGAGATATACATCAAGACTTCACTTAAAAAAAAAACAAAAAAGTATACTGGGGGTAGAAAGATGGCTCCGCAGGTAAAGGTAAGTTCAATCCCTGGGACTCACACGATGGAAGGAGAGAGCCAACTCCTTCAGGTTGGCCTCTGACCTTTACAAGCTTGTCATGGCAACGTATGCCTTCCACATATACACAAATAATATTCCACATATATATAAATTCCACATATACACAAATAAATGAAGTTTTTTTTTAAGTAGATTGAAAAATTCAAGGCCAAGAACTGCATTTCTAACATTCTTCACAGACCCTCATAGTAAAAACAAACCCAAAACCCCACCATTGACAGTAAGAATACTGGCTAGTAGGAATAGCTCAGTGGTGAACACTTGTCTAACACACAAGAGATAAGGCACCGAAACAAAAACGAACACGAACGAAC